CTGTCCAGGTGTCCCTGTGATGGACTGGAGACCTGTCCAGGTGTCCCCTCCTCTCACACAGAGACTGCTGGATATGGACACCAGTGACCCCTGTGACCCAAAAAGGAAAAAGTGAGTAAAAGATAAGTGATGGATGATACTTCATATGAAAATGTAAATCAGGTCTAAATGTCATGACATCATGAACTCATCATCATCAGAAGAAGTTTCCAGAAACCACGTCTAAAGGAAACTAAAGGAAAACTGTTGCTTCGTCTGATGAAGGTTGGTGCAACAATCATGTCTCTGACTGGTAGAACGTTGTGTCATGTTTAAATTATAGTTCAGGACTTCTTCATGAGTAGAACACAACAATACGAGCAGCATTTGGATTTTTTATTTTCTCTTTTATTCATCTTTGTGCGTCACTGTTTTCTTCATTAACAGTTCTGTATTTTATTTTTACTGCAGCCTTGTAGTTGTAGTCCAGTAAAATAATTTGTTATATAATAAACATGATTTGTTGAAGCGTTTTGTGATTTTTATCTTGAGAAGCGCTATATAAATAAAGTTTTACTTACTCACACCCTTTGTGAACCATTTTCCATGTGCTGTATTAAATGTGATTTTACTCTTTATATTTATGGTTATGTGTTCTCTGTCACATGTTTGACTGTAGTGAGCGCTTTAAGGAGTGCATGTGAATCTTAGTGGATCAGGCTGTGGCAGACTGAACCGTCAGTCTGAACTTCCTGTAAGAAGAACGTTTGGCAGCTGCAGCAAAAAGTTGCTGTTTGGTTTGTCTCTGAATTTCTGCAGCAACAAGACGATGCAACTGAAGAAGAGCAACTTTTTAAACTGCTTGCCATACAGCTATAAAAACATCTCCTATGTTATGATCTTATTATTATGTATTTCTTTTTTAACCTTTATTTAATAATGCAAATCCCACTGAGATCACAGATTCTTTTGCAAGAGAGGCCTGGACCTGAAGGCAGACTAACATTATGTTTTTGGTCTGTGGGAGAAAACCCACACATGCACGAGAAGAACATGCAAACTCCACACAGAAAGACCCCAGGTCCAATCGGGGATTAAACCCAGGACCTTCTTGCTGTGAAGCAACAGTGCTAACCACTGAGCCATCATTAAATTCTGCAGGAATAATAATATTATAATAGTCAGGTTGCCTTTAATGTTTACCTCTAGAACTTTCAGACATTTAACAGAAGGGTAGGTCTTAAAATGTAGACAAACCCATGCATGAAAGCTGCTGGTAGAAACTAAAAAAGATGTGAAGCTGAATGTTTGTTTTGTTTTAAAGGAGATGTTCAGAGATGAAGACACACTTTAATATTATATTTTAGTCTCCTGTTAAATCATAACCCCCGTCACAAGAACATGTCCACACAGCCCGGTCCATCTTCAAACTCCCTCCAGCTGTTCAGGAGTCACTGATGAAGCTGGCCACATAATCCAATCAAAGAGGAACCAAACCTCTGCTGCTCTATGTGTTGCTCTATTCATCTTCTGTGTTGCTCTACGTGTTGCTCTATTCATCTTTATGTGTTGCTCTGTGTGCCACTTTATGCAATACTCTATATGTTGCTCTAGGTGTTTTCTATATGTTGCTCTGTGTCACTCTATATAATACTATACATATTATCTACACATTGCTCTATGTGTTGTTCTACGTGTTGCTGTAAGTTTTGTTCTAAATGTTGCTCTATGTGTCACTCTATATAATACTCTACATATTATCTACACATTGCTCTATGTTGTGTGTTGTTCTATGTGTTGCTTTATTTGTTGCTCTATGTGATCAACTATGTGGTGCTGTATGGGTTGTTCTATGCATGGTTCTACATGTTGTTCTAAGCTTTGCTCTGTGCTTATCTACATGTTGCTCTGTGTTTCTATGCATGTCATGTTACATGTTGCTCTACATGTTGCTCTGTTTCTATGCATGCCATGTTACATGTTGCTCTGTTTCTATGCGTGATGTTTCATGTTGCTCTACATGTTTCTCTGTGTTTCTATGCATGTCATGTTACATGTTGCTCTGTGTTTCTATGTGTGTTGTTGCATGTTGCTCTACATGTTTCTCTGTGTTTCTATGCATGTCATGTTACATGTTGCTCTACGTGTTGCTCTGTGTTACTATGCATATCATGTTACATGTTGCTCTGTGTTTCTATGTGTGTTGTTGCATGTTGCTCTAGATGTTTCTCTGTGTTTCTATGCACTTTATGTTACATGTTGCGCTACATGTTGCTCTATGTGTTGTTCTACATGTTTATATGCATGTCATGTTACATGTTGCTCTACATGTTTCTCTGTGTTTCTATGTGTGTTGTTGCATGTTGCTCTACATGTTTCTCTGTGTTTCTATGCATGTCATGTTACAT